GTGGAGGAGACAGAGGGACGAGGGTGGAGGAGGCCGTTCACCTTTCTTCTTGTCCTGCGTCTTGTCGTCCCTCTCGCTGCTGCTGCCGCCCTGCTGGCTGGAGGAGGAGGTGCCTCTGAAGGATCCCTCTCTGACGAAGGACGTCCTGGAGGCGTCGAACGAGGCCGTGACGCCGCACTCCTTCTCTCTGCGCTGTTTACGCTCCAGACACGCCGCGAACGCACAGCCCACCGCGTGACTCAGCCTCTCGCCCTGACCACAGAACAACTGTCAATCATCTGCTCCTCTGACCTTATACTCTCACTGTCAAATCTAACACCAGAGTTCACCTGCATTCAGCTCGTTTACTTTACTCACAGCCACGAATCTGTGCCACAACACACTCGTCATTGACAATGGAGCCCACGGGTGCATTACTGGACGCACTTTCCAATGACACATATATGTGCCACCATAGGTGGCACTATATTGTTATTGTTCTGGTTTTTCTTATTATTATTAGGCGCGAGCGGCGACAGGACCTAATAATATTGTTCAGCAGTGAGACAGAGCACAAAGTGCTTTCCCCTTTTCAAACACAGTGGCACTCATGTCAGTGACTGGTGCCCGCTGACATGGCACAGTGGCTTTGCCCGTGGGCAGAATAGTTATTGTTCACCCCAAAACATAGGACGCACTTGACATCATGCACAAAGTGCACTTGCACGTTTGCAAAAACCCACAAAAACCAAGCGCGAGACGCTCTCTCTTTATCAAACACTCAGTGCCACTCAGTAGTGACACTCATGACATCCTGTAGTACAGACTGGCATTGCCCATTGCTGCGATTGCAACATAATTGTAATCGTTAACCCTGGTAAACTCCAAACACGTGCACTGGGTATGTGAGTAACTGAACAGGTCAATGACGAGCATGTTGTTTTCTTTCTGTCTTTGTTTCTTTTTTGTAGATTTTTTGCAGGTAAAACTCTAAACATCATTATTCTGAAGGTGATGTGAGGTTTTCAGCAGAACCTCAGTGATCCTCTCGTAAACGGGTCGGGCTGCGCAGTACAGACAGAGATGAGGAGATGAGTCGAGTCCTGGTCTAATCCGGTCCTAATCCTGATCTGAACCTTTATAATCTGCTCTGGCCCCGGCGCTCTGTCTGCAGCTCCACAAGATCACCCCACTCCTGCTGATTTAAAGAGAAACAGCTTCAGAAGGTGAAACGACGCTGACATTTACTCAGCGCTTTAAAGGAGCCCTGTGGAACCTGAGATGTTATTGACGTCTTCACCATGTTTCACATCCTTTTATTTACAGCTGTTTTTATTGCTAAAGAACAACCCTGAAGAACATGAGAGTGAGTTTAGTGTCCACACGTCCCTGTTTCCTTGGGACAGTCCCAGTTTTAAACCCGTGTCCCCTGTCCCAGCAGATTTATACAAAACCACTGATTTGTCCCAGTTTTATACAAGAAATGTCCCAGGTGTCTCTATTTTGGACCAATCTGATCCCTGCCAACAGTAAATAGAGACATAAACTGTCATTTGTTTTGGTAAAATACAGAAAAGCTGCTTAAAAACGACCAAAACACAAAGAAAATGTGACTGTACTGACTCACATGTTCATCATGAATGGGCCGACTGCGACAGTTTTTCTTAATTACGTACTTGATTCACAATTTTATTATTACCAAACACCTCAAACTGGGGATGTTCCAGTTTTTATTTTGAAAATCTAGTCACTCTAGACCAGGGGTGTTCACACTTTTTCATCATGTGAGCTACTTACAAAATGACCAAATCAAAATGATCTGCCTAATACAAAGCCAAACAAACTGCACTGAAACACTCTGTGCCCCTTTTTTGGACCCTCCCCCACAGTTTGAGAACCTCTTCTTTAAGAGAACTTCCTCTGGCACTTTACACAAAACTGTGAAAAAAGTGAAGGAAGATTTTTAAACCTGTTTTTTAAAGTTCCAAACTGGAGTTTCATTCTTTTCTGGTTTTGCAGTGATATTTTCCAGCCTCTGCACGTTTACCAAACCAAACGCACATCGTGACAAACACAGATGCATTTGTCACTTTTGTTAGACAAACTTCAGCCAAATGTGGCAGTAGGTCTGTTCTGTAGATCCGCTCTATGCTGTAGACCTGCTTTGTGCCAACACTGGAACACAAATTTAGACTGGTTTTTGCTTCACGTTTGGTCTTGTTCTTCTAATCAGCCGCACTGTGGGAGGGGCTTGTGTTGGCTGTACGCAGGAAGGAGCGAGAGCGTGAAAAGGCGAGGGGCGGCGTGCTGACGTGAGGCAGATGGACAGGTAGGATGTTTAGGAAGTTCAACCTGCCCTGTGATGCACGCTGGTACACGAGGGCACACGCTGTCGCAGACGAGCCGTGCATAGGGAGCGTGTGTGTTTGTGATGCGCCGTAGAGTCTCCGCGGGTTTCAAATGAGCGCACAGGCTGCACTGAGACGCCCCACACGCTCCTGCACCCGCTACAAGTTTATTACCAACAGCAGCGGCCGGAATGAAATATGATCACACTTGTTGAGTGTCAGACCTCGAGTGAGAGACAAGACCGAGTCCAAACGTAAGTCCGAGACGAGACACGGCGATCTACCCACACGACCTTGGTGATCGACTGGTAGATCGGGATTGACGTACTGAGCACCACTGATCTAGACTATGGACAAGAGACAGATGTGTTTTTTCCTTCATGGCCGATGCCAGTGAAGCTCAAAAATCCCACCGTCTTCCACACTGGAGCCGGTGTTCTGTGGAAACGAGCTCCTGCAGCCTAAACTGACAGTGACGTCTATCGATTCACACTGCCCCATCCAAATACATGACCTTACGTTTTTTCCGTGTGCAGTTGTATAGATCCAATAAAGACAAAACCTGACCTCTGACCTCTGACCTCTGACGTCTCCAGTTTGACACATATTTGTTGCTGTTTGTTCAGTGATCAGACTTTAGATTTTAGTTGTGTCAAATCTGAACTCATTAGTGTGAAGGAAACACAAATCCACACGACAATTTATCCAAACTATAATGTTCCACTGAACAATCAACTGTGAATCGAGTTTGTAATTAAGAAAAACTGTTGCACTCGGCCCATTCATGACCAACATGAGTCAGTACAGTCACATTTTCTTTGTGTTTTGTCGTTTTTAAGCAGATTTTCTGTATTTTACCCAAACAAATGACAGTTTATGTTTCTCTTTTCTGTTGACAGGATCAGACTGTTGAAAAATAGACACACCTGGGACATTTCTTGTATAAAAGTGGGACAAATCAAGCCTGATTCATCAGCCGGTTTCACTTTGTAGAAACCGTCTGACCTCGAGCATTAGGATTTGTTCACTCGATGGTAGGCAGGTACTTTTTTAATTTAACCAGTTGCCGTTTGAATTACTTTGTGTATGAATTGTGCTATACAAATAAACTTGCCTTGCCTGTTATTTGGTCGTGACGTGTGTAATGCAATCCATGTATCATTCGTTCATTTTTCAATATAAAACAAAAATATGAAAATGAAAAAACACTTCATTATTTGTCTCCAAAACCAAAATGAAAAAACAGAGAATGATTTGTTTTTTCAGTTTTCATTTTTTGAGTTGAAAAATGAAAAATGGAAAAAACGGATAACGACCGTTTCCCGTTTACGTGACTTCAGTGACTGTGATGTCGGACTTTTGCACCACATACGGACTGAACCAGGACCGGGACCAGACTGAAAACAGACCAGGACCAGAGCGGGACTAGGGCGGGACCAGAGCAGACTCTGAGCCTCCATGGGGTCTAAACCTCAGCTTCGAGCTCTGGTCCTGCTCTGGTCTCGCTCTGTTCTCGCTCTCAGTCACGCTTTGGTCCCAGCCTGGTCCTGGTCTGGTCTCAGTCCCGGTTTGGTCCTGGTCTGGTCCTGGACCTGGATCAGTCCTGGCTCAGTCCTACATCACAGTCACTGAAGTCACGTAAACAGGAAACAGTCGTTATCTGTTTTTTCATTTAAACACAAAATCAAAAACTGAAAAAAACAAATCATCTGTTTTTTTCATTTTGGTTTTGGAGACAAATAATGAAGAAAACTGTTGTTTTTTCGTTTTCTTATTTTTGGTTTTATATTGAAAAACAAATGACACATGGATTAAATCTGTGGGACTGTCTCGGGGAAACAGGGACGTTTGGACACTAAACTCACTCTCATGTTCCTCAGGGTTTTTCTTTAGCAATAAAAACAGCTGTAAATGAAAAATAAATGTCTGTGGAACATGGTGAAGACATCAACATCTCCACGGAAACGAGCAGGTTCCACACTGCTCCTTTAAAGTGCTGAGTAAATGTCAGCGTTGTTTCACCTCTGATCTTCTGAGGCAGGAGTGGAGCTGTTAGAACATCTGTTTTTCTAGATATTTTTGAGCTACAAAACCTCCTGTGGAGCTGTTTAATGTCACACCGTGGAACATTCCAGGCTGAGCAGTGACGTCTCCATGGAAACGAGCTTCAACGCGGGAGTTCTGACTGAGTAAACAGAAAAAAAAGAAAAGGCTCTTGGTTCTGACCGAGTCCTTGATGGCCATGAAGCAGTGGCACATCCATCTGCGGGTGGTTCCGTCTCTGCAGATGTACGAGAACGCTTTGTCGTAGTTTCTGTCCGGAGCGCAGAAAGAGACCTTCTCTATGGTCTGGTCCACGATCAGGTCCTGCAGGAGAAAAGAGAAGAAACAAAAAGATCAGGTCCTGCAGGAGAAAAGAGAAGAAACAAAAAGATCAGGTCCTGCAGGAGAAAAGAGAAGAAACAAAAAGATCAGGTCCTGCAGGAGAAAAGAGAAGAAACAAAAAGATCAGGTCCTGCAGGAGAAAAGAGAAGAAACAAAAAGATCAGGTCCTGCAGGAGAAAAGAGAAGAAACAAAAAGATCAGGTCCTGCAGGAGAAAAGAGAAGAAACAAAAAGATCAGGTCCTGCAGGAGAAAAGAGAAGAGACAAAAAGATCAGGTCCTGCAGGAGA